CAAACAAACTTGATGACCTAAATTCCATTCTAAGGCATCACATGGTAGAAGGAGAGAACCGACCCCTTCAAGTTGTCCTCTGACTTCCACATTGGTACTATGGTACACACTTCTTCCTCACCACCGCATTAAAAAAACAAACAAACTAGTAGTAGCATGCATCTGTAATCCCAGCTCTTCTACAGCCTGGAAGCTTGAGGGCCAACCAGACTGGAGTGCAGCAGACAGAGCAGAAAAACAAAAGATATGCTGCCTCAACAAGGCGGAGGGAGAGAACCGACTCCACATGCGTGCTACAACAGCGCCTAAGTGCACATCCACACCATAAAAAATGTAAAATTTCTGCCTACCAAAGCAGTTATTCAAAAGATGAGAGAAGCAGGACAGCGGTGGCGCACGCCTTTAATCCCAGCACTCAGGAGGCAGAGGCAGGCAGAAGAGCGCTGTGCGTTCTGGCCAGCCTGGTCTACAAAGTGAGTTCCAGGACAGGCAGGGCTGTTGCACCGAGAAACCTGTCTCGAAAAACAAAACAACAACAACAACAACAAAAAGAAATGGCAAAAGCCATTTAGAATCCTAGGCATGAGGCAGGACTTGTTTGGTCTTAGTATTCTAAAATGAGTTAGAGATGCTTCATTCCCATTTCTTCCTTTCCCACAGGGATCATTCTCTCTCTTTGCCATTTCTTTTGTGGCCACTAGATCACAATGTACTAATATCCACAGTGTTTTGAAGTAAATGTTCAAAAAAATAAGGAAATTTTAAGGAATGCCTGGAAACTAAAAGGTTTTCTCAGACTTTAGTTTTCTCATACCAAATGGTGAGAATACCAGGTAAACGGACCAGTGATGTGTACTCAGAACACAGATTGGGAAAAGGCAAGGTATTTTGAGATATGGCTCAATAAAAAGTTTTATTGCTCAAAACTTGGAGGACTACAGTGAAATTCCCTAACCACAGCTGTTCTTTCCTCTTGCAGAATTCAACTAGAATGTTCTTCCTCTCAGCTCCCTGACGGAAGGCCACACACAGCTGCCCTAGCTTCCTAGCTATCAACTCAAGCTAAATCACAAGTGGTGTTAGTTGGTAGTTTTCTCATGCTGCCTACCTTGACAGGGTCTTACACTAATAAAGCCATTCTGAGAGGGGTTGGGTAGGGCTCCTCCTTACTGCTATGTAGCATTTGGATGGTTTATTACTTTCTCTCTCTTTCTCTTTCTTTCTTTTTCAAGACAGGTTTCTCTGTGTAGTCCTTGCTGTCCTGGAACTCACTCTGTAGACCGTGCTGACCTCAAACTCAGGGATCTGCTGGTCTCTGCCTACTGAGTGCTGGGATTAAAGGCATGCATCACCACAACCCAGCTTAACATTTAGGTGAGTTTCAAAGGGCATCATTTACTTCCAATTAGGAGGGCATAAAACTATGATCCTCCTCCCCTGGTGCTGAGGAAACACAACTGACTCTTGGAAAAAACAAGGCTTTAAGAACAGAAAAGCAGGTCTCTGCCTACAGCATCTCTGGGTTCACTCCAGAAGCTTTTTTGGCCAGATTAAAAATTCCCTTCCTTATGCCAACCAAAAGGGAAAACTGCTAGAAAATGGCTTAAATAGACGGAGGCCTGTGAAGAATGAGAAAACAAATTAAAATCAACATATATTGTATTTTGACAATGATGTCCTTTCTGAATACTCTGAGTATCTTTATATGTCCTTGCATAATTTCCCAGATGAGAACGGCTACTCCTGTCTACAGATGGGAAAAACAGAGTCCTGGAAAGTTACTGGTTAGAAATGGTTAAGTGTTGCAGAAAAATCGGAGTTTCTGAAGCTTCTTGATTTCAAATCATGGGCGATTTTAAAAACCAGGCCAAGCAGAAACCAAGGTTGGAAAGATCTTCAGAAAATCTGCTATTAAATGTTTCTCTACTAAGCACAACATGCCTTCACCCCAAGTTGTTGGCAAATTGGGGCGCAGATCAGTATCTCTTGGGGCCTCAGCTGAGAGGACCCCGTTGCCTTGACTCCTCCTGAATAAATCTGCTTCCAGGCGTCTTACAGAACCTTCGAAAAGCACGCATGGGCCACAAAGCTTTGCTCTCTCCAAATGGTCAGCTCAGCTCAGTTCCAGGATCAAGAAGGGAAAAAACCATATACTCAACGACCCCAAAGGGAAGGTAGGACAGGAGCTCCTCCCACCAGGGTTCTAGTTCCAGTGACCAGAGCAAAGGGAGGGCTCTTGCTCACTTCTAAATATGCAGATACTACCAGTCAACTTTTGGTTGGAGACAAAAGTCAGGTCCTATAGTGGTTTGAAAGAAAATGCCCCCCCCCCAAATGGCACTATTAGGAGGTGTGGCCTTGTTGAAGTAGGTGTGGTCTTGTTGGAGGAAGTGTGTCACTGTGGAGGCAGGCTTTGAGGTCTCATGTATGTTTAAACTATGCCCAGTGAGTCAGTCCACTTCCTGTTGCCTGAAAATCAAGATGTAGGACTCTCAGCTCCAACTCCAGCACTATGCCTGTATGCATGCCACCATGTTTCTCTGCCGTGGTGATAATGATCTAAACCTCTGAAACTCTAATCCATCCAATTAAATGTTTTCTTTTATAAGAGTTGCCAAGGGCTGGGTGGTGGTGGCGGCGGCGCCGCCGCCGCCGCACGGCGCACGCCTTTAATCCCAGTACTAGGGAGGAAGAGGCAGGCGGATCTCTGTGAGTTCGAGGCCAGCCTGGGCAACAGAGCGAGATCCAGGACAGGCTCCTGCTGTGGGATGGTCTGTATGTCAAGTGTGTTGCTGATTGGTCAATAAATAAATCACTGATCGGCCAGTGGCTAGGCAGGAAGTATAGGCAGGACAAGGAGGAGAATAAAGCTGGGAAGTGGAAGGCTGAGTCAGAGAGACACTGCCAGCCGCCATGATGACAAACAGCATGTAAAGATGCCGGTAAGCCATGAGCCATGTGGCAAGGTATAGATTTATAGAAATGGATTAATTTAAGCTGTAAGAACAGTTAGCAAGAAGCCTGCCACGGCCATACAGTTTGTAACCAATATAAGTCTCTGTGTTTACTTGGTCGGGTCTGAGCGGCTGTGGGAGAGAGATTTGTCCTGACTGTGGGCCAGGCAGGAAAACTCTAGCTACAGGCTCCAAAGCTACACAGAGAAACCCTGTCTCGAAAAAAACAAAACAAACAAACAAACAAAAAAAGAGTTGCCAAGGTCATGGTGTCTCGTCACAGCAATAGAAACCCTAAGACAGGTCCATAGCCCAGAAAATAGTCACCTGCAGTGTAGTACTCTGGAACCAATCCTGGGATAGATTGCCCTCAACTCTTGAACACAGTATCAAAGTCAAGGATGATGGGAAAGGATCTGCTGGTAGCCTTTTTGAGTACACTTGTATGTTCAAGCATGTAGAGGCCAGAAGACAACATCAAGGACTGCCCACCTTAGTTTCTGATACAGGTCTTATGTAGCTCAGGCTAACCTCAAACTCCCCACATAGCTGAAGATGGCCTTGAACTTCTGATTTTCCTACCTCAACCTTCTGAGTGCTGGGATTATGGACCTACAATACCATGCCTGGCTTTCTGCTTGTAGGGTTTAAACCAGACTAAAAAGTAAAAGCATTGTGGTCAACTAGGTTAGCATTCCTATTAAAAAATTACTTGTGTTGCATGAGCACATATGTAAGGTAAGAGTCCACATGCACACAAATCCACAACTTAGCACATACAAGTATTATAAAGGGGATGTGTGTGTTCTATAGCCCCTTATAGCGGTTCATGCTCATCTGACTAAGGGTAGATGGATAACAGGAAACAACTTCATAGAGAAGGGAGCATTCAAGCCAAGTCTTTCATAACACAGCAAGTTTGAAAAAGAGGAAATTGTGCAAAGATCCAAAAAAGCAGAGATGAGCAGAGCAAGGGCAAGGTGTGGGAAGGCCAGGAAGACATTTTAAAGCACACTTGAGTCTAGTTCAGGGCTAGCTTGGGCAATGTGGCAAGACCCACCATTGCAAAAAACTAAAACTAAAAAAAAAAAAGAGGATGGGGATGGTAGCTCACACCCACAGTCCCAGCACTCATAAGGCAGAAGTAGGACTATTATGAGTTTAAGACTAGCCTAATCTACAAAGAGTTTCAGGCCAGTGGGGTATGTGATGTGTATGAATTTTGAATTGGTTTTTGAACTGGTAAATGACAAAATTGGTCCTGTCCTGAAAGGAAGATCTACATGGTAGTCAGTATAAGTAAATGTTGGAAGAAACTGGAAGCAGGCCACCAGTTAAGAGGCTTTACACCAGGTAGGTGACAAGGAGTGCCTGAGCCAGGACTGTGGCACTGACAGGTAATGAACCCTCTAGTGATCATTTTAAGCACTGACCCCAATCCTCCAAAGTGAGAAGAAGGTTGTATCATGTGATAATTATTGAAAAGTGTACTAGTCTTTTTCTTTTTGGGCCACCAACCAGCTCCCAAATCATGATACAGAGACTTATTATTAGTTTTGAATGCTTGGCCTAGCTTAGGCTCCTTTCTGGCTAGCTCTTTTAACTTGTTTCTCTTTTACACAGTTAAAGTAATATTCGGTAGCATAAACAAATATAACAAATCTTTGCCTAGTTAAAATAATATTCCACAACAGAAAAGCACAGCTATTTTGAACAGAACTTTCCTAAAACAAAGAATTAAAGAATGAACCCAAGGACTGGAGAGATGGCTCAGCAATTAAGATCACTGGCTGCTCTTCCAGAGATCAATTCCCAGCACACACATGGTGGTTCACAAGTCTGTAACTGTAATCTCATGGGATCTCATGCCCTCTTCTGGTGTGCAGATGCACACACAGACAAAACACCCATGCACGTAAAATACATAAATAAATCTTAAAAGAACGAGCCTGTCAGATCCCTGCAGAGTTTAGGCCATTACCACTGGGCCTTGTTCTCTCACCAAGGCACTCAGCCAACTGTGGAAAAGAAATACACACAGGAGACTTAAGAAACATCTTATTAATACAGTATTTATTTGTCTTCTCTCTGTCAAACCCTGAGCCAAGCACTTTCCCCAGACTTCCTGGGGAGGTACAGGAAAAGGAACACACAGGGCAGACGGGACATGAAAGAGCTATGGGAGGTGGAAGTGGAGACAGCTGCTTCACATGGCGAAGAGGATGAGAAAGGCCACCATTAGGCAGAAGAGCCCCATGGCCTCTGAGAGGGCAAAGCCCAGAATCGCGTAGGAGAAGAGCTGTTGCTTCAGAGAAGGGTTCCTGGGGAAAGAGGAGAGAAGTCTGAATTTGTAGTCTACACAAGGAAAAGGCCAAACATCTAAGGTGGACTCTCAGAGAATTCACTTCGAGTTTATGTTATAATAAGGTCCATCTAAGAGACCCCACTGTACCCATCTTCTCCCACTAAGGTTTCAACAGGGGTAAACAAGGTAGAGGTAGACAATCTAAGATGCTCTTATAGGCCCATGTGCAAATATTACCTTCCCAATGGATCTCTCCTACCATCACAGTAACTTAAAACCATAGGCCTGGCTACTTAACATTCAGGGCCAGAAGAGGAAGGAGGGATACTCAAAGCGACAGTCTTTCTCAAGTATCAGAACTCTAACAGGACACAGAAAGCAAAACTGCAGATGTGGGGGCTGGAGAGATGGCTCAGAGGTGAAAAGCACTGGCTGCTCATCCAAAGGTCCTGAGTTCAATTCCCAGCAACCACATGATGGCTCACAACCACCTATAATGAGATCTGGTGCCCTCTTCTGGCCTGCAGGAATATATGCAGACAGAATACTATATATATAATAAATCTTAAAAAAAACAAAACAAAACAAAAAAAAAAAACTGCAGATGGGCTGTGGCTCACACACTCAGGGTCCCAGGACTCTATGGGCATAACACTGTTCCAGAAAGCAGGTATGAATCAAAACAGAACAGCATCCTAACTTTGAAAGTCAACATAAACTTTTAGCAGAATTGTGGACACAAAGTATATCAAGCTTGTTTAAAGCAGATTCTGAAGGGAAAAAAAAAAAACAAAACAAAACCTTATTTCCCCAGACATTAGTATAACTTGCTGGCCTCTAGAGGATTAATTTAGCTCTTCAGTGACTTGTCCACAGGTAGTGGAGACCAAACAGTCCCAGGTGCTCGGGACCAGGAGGGTTGGAAACAGAGGCCACTGTCCCAGGAGCAACAGAGGGAACTCCCAGAGATGGGGGAAAACATCAGTGAAGCTGCCTGAGCTCTAGCCCAGGGATGGCCAGAAGGTTTTCACCTTAGGCTTTTTGGACCACAGAGTCTGTTGTCTTAAATTTATTTGTTCTAGAGTGCAGACATAACTATGCAGACGGTGGAGCACACTGTAAGAACACAGAAAACTTCTTGCTTCTGTGAAAATACTTCTAAAGAATGTAGAAACTAGGTGGTAGTCCCATGTGTAATCCCACCACCAGGAAAGCAGGGGTTCGAGGCACCCAGGCCTATACAGTTAAGATACTGTCTCAAAAAATCAACAACAAAGTAAAAATCATTTTTAACTTAATCACAGAAAACCAGGCTGGGGTCCAAATACAGCCCTCAGGCTTAGACTTGCCAGCCCCTGCTCTGCACTACAGTGACGGGCATGTGCTGTATCTGCACTGTTAACTAAGGTTTCGTCCAGCTTCTAAGCACTAGAAATTGCAAGACAAAGGAACTGAAAACCTCAATTTTATGTTAAGACAGGGTCTCATATAGCCTAGGCTGGCCTGAACTCACCATGTAGCCCAGGCTAACCTGGAACTGATGAGTATTCTGCCTCTGTCTCATAACTGTTCGCATTATAGGTCTGTGTCATCATACCCAGCTTGTATTTTTATTTAAAAAAAAAAAATGTTAAAACAGTGTGTGTCTGTACACGCCTTTAATGTTAGCACTCGGGAGGCAGAGGCAGGCAGAGCTCTGTCCATTCCAGGCCAGCTAGGGTGACATAATGAGGAAAAAAATTAAGTATTTATTTAGGCATGGGTGTGCATGCATGTGTGCCACCTCATGCATGTGGAGGTCAGAGAACACCTTGTAGAAGCTGCTCACTCCTTCACCATGTTGTCAGGTGCCTACACCCACTAAGACATCTTACTGGCCCCAACTTTTTTTCCTTTAGTTTTTCAAGAAAGTGTTTCTCTGTGTTATCTCTGGCATCCTGGAATTAGCTGTATAGACCAGGATAACCTCAAACTCAGAGTCACTTGCCTCTGCCTCCTGGGATTAAAGGAGTGCACCACGAGGCCCAGCTTAGGTTATATATTTTTTTTATTAATTTATTTTTATTTTATTGGTACTTTGCCTGTATGCGTATCTGTGTGAGGGTGTAGGAGCCTGGAGTTATAGACAGTTGTGAGCTGTCATGGATGCTGGGAATTGAACCCCGGTCCTCTGGAAAAGCAGTCAGTGCTCTTAACTGCTAAGCCATCTCTCCAGCCCTTAGCTTGCAATTTTTTTTGTTTGTTTTTTTTTTTAAAGATTTATTTATTTATTATGTATACAGTGTTCTGTCTGCATATACACCTGCAGGTCAGAAGAGGGCGCCAGATCTCATTATGGATGGTTGTGAGCCACCATGTGGTTGCTGGGAATTGAACTCATGACCTCTGGAAGAACAGCCAGTGCTCTTAACCTCTGAGCCATCTCTCCAGCCCCTAGCTTGCATTTTTAATTAATTAAAATTTGAGGCTGGGTAGTAGTGGGGCATGCCTTTAATCCCAGCACTTGGGAGGCAGAGCCAGGCAGATCTCCGTGAGTTTGAGGCCAGCCTGGTCTACAGAGCGAGATCTAGAACAGGCACCAAAGCTACACAGAGAAACCCTGTCTCAAAAAACAAACAATTTTGAAAAAAGCCAAGCATGGTTGTATGCCTTTGATCCCACCACTCAAGAGGTAGAAGAAGCAGGTAGATCCTTGTGAGTTCGAGTCAGCCTGGTCTACACAGTAAGTTCCAGGCTAGCCAGGGCTACTTAATGAGGCTCTCTCTCAAAAAAGAAAAACAAACAAAAATCACAGAAATTTAAGTAAAAAATAACAACACACAGCTAGTGGCCTCTGTATATATAGGACATGCAGTTCTATCCCTGACCTCTGGAACATACAGCAGAACCAACAGAGGCCCAGGTAATCTTACCTGGCATACCCAATGATGAGGCTCCCAAAAACAGTCCCAATGCCAGCCCCCGACCCAGCCACCCCAACTGTGGCGGCCCCAGCCCCAATGAACTTGGCGGCTGTGTCGATGTCCCGGGAAATGACGCTGGTTTGGAAGCTGCGGCTAGGGATGACTGAGGTCAGAGGGTGAGGGATTGCCAAACTGCTGGGGCCCTGTGAAGAGGAGGCAGACAGAAGGCAGGGTTTTTGTTATCAATCTACTGTTTTGCTTTGGAAACATTTGTACTATTTCAAACTGCTGGGCCATCTAATCTGATGTTCCTCCCTCAATATAACATGATTTAATTCCTTGGAAACCTCCTAAAATGCTGGCAAAAGAACTCTTTTTTTTTTTTTGGTTTTTCGAGGCAGGGTTTCTCTGTAGCTTTGCGCCTTTCCTGGGACTCACTTGGTAGCCCAGGCTGGCCTCGAACTCACAGAGATCCGCCTGCCTCTGCCTCCCAAGTACTGGGATTAAAGGCGTGCGCCACCACCGCCCGGCTTTTTTTTTTTTTTTTGGTTTTTCGAGACAGGGTTTCTCTGTGTAGCTTTGCGCCTTTCCTGGAACTCACTTGGTAGCTCAGGCTGGCCTCGAACTCACAGAGATCCGCCTGGCTCTGCCTCCCGAGTGCTGGGATTAAAGGCGTGCGCCACCACCGCCCGGCTTTTTTTTTTTTTTTTTTTTTTTAAAGATTTATTTATTATGTATACAGTGTTCTGCCTGTATGTGTCCCTGCACTCCAGAAGAGGGCACCAGGTCTTACTATAGATGGTTGTGAACCACCATGTGGTTGCTAGGAATTGAACTCAGGTCCTCTAGAAGAGCAGCCAGTGCTCTTAACCACTGAGCCATCTCTCCAGCCCCCAAAAGAACTTTTTTAAATGTAAGAGATGGAGTTCAAATGCCTTCATGATTCAGGTATGGTCTACAAGTGTTAAGTGTGAGACATGAGCCTGTCCTTGACCCCCAACATCTGGACAGCAGACTAGGCCAAGTAAATAAATGGACCAGGATTCTATGCAAGAGCAACAAGTGCTCTTAACTGCTGAGCCAGCGCTTCCGCCCAGGCTGGGTAACGGAAATTAACAGTGGCAATTCCAAACATACAGAGCTTCAATTGCCATCCATCTCTACCTAAAGAATTTCAGTCTGTGGTGATTGTCCTCAGCACTCCCCCTACTGGTTCTGGGAGGCAACCCTCTTTACCCCTTACCAGCAAACCACAGTCCCAACTCCTCAAGGTACCTCATCTGTCCATGTCTGTGGTCGGGTCAACTGCACTGCAGACAGTGGGCGACTCAGCAGCTGAGAGGTGCTCCTGATCTAGTGGAATGACACGGGCAGGAAGGTCAAGGAAAGCTGTGGAGTGACTTTCAGAACCATGCCAAGTCACTGCACACAGCAGGACATTCTCTGATGCTCTTTCCATTCTTTCAAAACTTAGTCAGAACCTTGAATCATTCTTTTAACAAATTTCGTTCGTTTAAGAGACATGAAGAAGGCTGGGTGGTGGTGGCGGCGGCGGCACACGCCTTTGATCCCAGCACTTGGGAGGCAGAGCCAGGCGGATCTCTGTGAGTTCGAGGCCAGCCTGGTCTACAGAGCGAGATCCAAGACAGGCACCAAAACTACACAGAGAAACCCTGTCTTGAAAAACAAAACAAAAGACAGGCAGACACCTCGAATCCCAGCACTCAGGAAGCAGAGGAAGGCAGACCTCTACAAGTTCCTGGCCAGTCAGGGCGACATAGTGAGACTATCTCAAAACAATAGCAACAACAAAATAATAGAGGGACTGGAGAGATACTGCAGTGGTTAAGAACATCTGTAAAGACCTGGTTTCAATTCCCAGTACCCATGTGGTGTCTCACAATCATCCACAACTTCAGTTCCAGAGGATCCAACACCCTCTTCTGACCTCCTTGGGCACAAGGCACACATGTGGTACACATATCATACATGCAGGTAAAAAAAACATAAAATAATTTTCTACAAAAAAAAATCTTTAAAAACCCCAAAAGAAACAAAAATCTTGCTACACTGCCCGAGCTGGTCTTTGAAGTCCCAGGCTCAGCAACCCTACTGCTTTAGCATCTCTAGTCCTGGGACTTCACGCATGCAGCACCATTCCTGACTGCAGCAAGTTCTGAATTCAGGAGCCACGCCATCCTCTCTATAGGTTCTACTTTACGGAAAGACAGTGTCGGGCTGGAGAGACGGCTCAGCTGTTAAAGGCTGGGCTCACAACCACAAATATAAGGAAAGACAGTGTCCTCCCTTGTAGGAGTCCATAGGAGGCCACAACTGCTGTATTCTTTTACCCTCTTGAGAATCAGAAGCAATCTGTGCCCCAGAAGCATCTACTTCACTCAACAAGGAAGATATTTCCTGGTAATAACCAGTTCATAAGAAGAAAGCCAAGGATTAGGATAGTCTTCCCTGAACATATATACCCTTCTCTGGAAATGAACATGAAGAACCATGTTCAAAATTCACCGTATGCAGCAGGGCAGTGGTGGTGCACACCTTTAATCCCTGCACTTGGGAGGCAGAGGCAGGTGGATCTCTACGAGTTTGAGGCCAGCCTGGTCTACAAAGTGAGTTCCAGGACAGCCATGGCTGTTACATAGAGAAACACTGTTTAAAACAATTAACAACAATAAATTCACCTCCTCCTGGTAACCTTTTCTGACCAGCCCCAAGACAGTGTCTCCAAGATACATGATAGCTAACAGCCAGGCCTTTACAGACAGAATTAAGAGGCATACATACTTTTTCTTTTGACAGGATCTCACTGCAGCCCCAGATGATCTTAAATTTGTGCCAACTAGTGTTCCTGCTTCATACTCCCAGGTTCTAGATTACAGACATGTACCACTATGTCTGATTTTTTTTTTCTTTTCTTTTTTGTACTAGGGACTGAACCCTGGGCTTTGTACAGGTTAGGCAAGCATTCTCCACTGAGCTATATCCTTAGCCTTCTAACGTTAACTTTCTTTTGTATGTATTAGTGTTTTGTCTACTTGTATGTATGTATACCTGTGGGTGCCTGGTACTCAGAGGCCAGAAGACACTGGATCCCCGAAACTGGAATTATGATGTTGTGAGTTGCCACATGGATGCCAGGAACCAAACCCACGTGTTTTTGCAAGAGCAACAGTGCTCATAACTGCTGAGCCACGTTAAGCCCCAAATGCTAACTTTCTACCAGGGATGCAATGAGGATTAAGTCACTTCAAGGTTCTCAGCCTGTTTCTTCACCTGTCAAATGGGAACAATCTCTCAGGGCTCTGAGGAATAAATGGTAAATGTACAAACTGGTAAACAGTGTTAGGCACACTTTAGTAATTGGCACTTACTAAGAGCATCACACCTTTTCACTTATAGATGAACGAACTGCCTCCACTGTCTTACTAGTTTTAAATTTCTTACATCCTGCTGCTTCTAGGCCCAACACCTTTCCAGAGTGTATTTGAGCTTCTTTCCCAGACTTTTATCCCCAGAATAAAGTCCTACCAAGGCTCACTCAAGATAAGGGCCCATACACAGTGTACACTCTGTCCGAGCTATGTAACACAGTTTGTTTACCATGTCCCACTAGGTTCGAATATCACAAACACACAGTGAAATTACATGACCTAGATGAAAATTAACTGGCCTCCAGAGAATATGGGCCAGGGGAATGCCTAGCAAACATTCACTCCTGCCAGCAACCATAGCAAAAGGTCTTCTCTTCCAGAGACTCACCTTCCTCAACCCATCTGTAAAGAACAAGGTCTAACAGGCATGTCCAACCTATGGCTGGCCACAGGCTGCAGACGCCTCAGGGTAGCTATGAAGGCAGCTGATACATTTACATATGACAATGTCATGTCCCCATATCAAAAGGTTGGTACTCTCCAACACGAAGAAGCAAGGTGCCCTCCTTTTAAGATCCTTCCGTAAAATGTACTCACCAAGGAGCGAGTGGAGATGAACTTGGAGCAGGCATACATTTTCAGGGGTGAGGGGCCAAGGCAGGAGAGCTAGAAATAAGAAGCAGCATTATAAACACACTGAACTTCATCCTTATACCTAAGAAGGAGCTCTAGGAAGCTTAATTAGCTCAAAGAACAGAATGATGGGTTTCAGGCCATCACTACAGGTGATGTCAGAATCTGGAAATGAAGTGACTTTCTCATGGCCTGGACAAGCAGTCCATGCTTTAAGAACCACCATCCAAGCCAGGTGGTAGTGGTGGCGCATGCCTTTAATCTCAGCATTCAGGGGGCAGAAGAAGGCAGATCTCTGAGTTAGAGGCCAGTCTGGCCTACAGAGTAAGTTCCAGGATAGCCGGAGCTATGTAGAGAAACCATTTCAACACTCCCCTGCTTACACCCCCCCAAAAAGAACCACCATCCATTCCCACAGCCTGATGATTTGGGCTTGTCAAAATAATTTTCCCAGTGTCCTTTGCTTATGTTTCCCCCCAACCACCCCCACTCCTTCTAGGTTCAAATTCATCTCTTCCTGGTCTCAGTGTCTGGGCCTAGAAAAGACTGGAGTTCTAGCAGTGTGTGGTGGGTCTAACACCTGTAATTCCAGCGCTCGGGAGGCATGGACAAGACTTTCAAATGTTTGAGGACAGCCTGGGCTACAGAGTAACATCTTAGGCATACTAACCTAGGGCTGGCTATTAATTCCAGCCCCTAAAAACTAGAATCCCATACCTTTGGGAGAATTCTAGAAGACAAAGGCACTGGAAGTTTTCCAACAATCTTTTTATTGATTATCTGAAGGCTCTGACTGCTTAAAATACTTCTATATTAACAAGATGCAGCCAATCAATGAGGAACACTGGCATTACTCTATGAGCATCAACTATAAACTCATTTCACCACTCCATTAAGGGGTATTAAATTTTGCACCCTCAAGATCCAAAGAAAGAATAGGTGAGTTAAAGATATAGGACAATGTTTTTCCCCAAACGAAGTAAGAAGCCCACTTGAACCAGAATTACCGGAGAGGTGGTATATATATTAAAAATGCATGTCACTGGGCCAGCAAGACGGCTCAGAGGGTAAAAGCACTTGCCCTGTCAAACCTGACAAGTGTGATTCCTGGAGTACACGTGGAAGAAGGTACTTCTAAGAGCCGCCTTCGATCGCCACAAGTGCACCACAGTGCACGCTCACACACAACGAAACAGTTTAAGACTTTTTAGATTTGTAGGTATGAGTGATTTGCCTGAACGCATGTATGTGCACCACATGTATGCTTAGTGCCCAAGAAGATCAGATGAAGGGCCTAGACTCCCCAGAACTGTGGGCCTCTGGAAGAACAACAGATGCTCTTAACTGTAGAACCATCTCCCCAGCCCCTAAAAACAATTTAAAAAAAAAGTGTATTCTTGGCTCCCCCTTAGATCTCTGGTACCAATGTTTTAAACAAGTTTTCCGATCATCGTTCTATTTAAGGTATACAATGGCGTGGTCTCAACAACATTGAAGGGGCGTCAGTGGCAAAGCAAGGACTGTAACTCTGTAATTTCACGTTTGGGGAGGGCACACTGGAGGGAGAACTCAGAACCTGAGTGTACTAGGTAAGATAGTCTACCCCTGAGCTACATCCCCAGCTCTTTTTCTCAAGTTTCTTAAGTTTGAGTATTCCACAAACTGAGATACTCAGTCAAAGTATAGAGAGGCCTGTTAAACACTACTCCCTTAAGTAAACTGGACTCAACCTGTCCAAGGGTAGGTGCACTACGTACAAATCCTGAATCATATTTGTAATGTTTATCAGTCTTGTTCTACCTAAAACTTTGCTTTTTGTTGGACATGGTGGAACACACCTGTGATCCCAGCACTCAGATCTCTATTAATCCTAGGCCAGCCTGGTGTACATAGGGAATTCCAGGCTAGCTACATAGTGCGACCCTGTAACAAATAAAAAAATTTGCCTTTTGCTTTTATGCAACCTAAACCCAAATTTACTGCCCAACTATTCAGGTTCTATTGAGTCAAAACACGAGTCTTCTTTAAAGCTTTTAGAATACAGGGAAGCTTGAGCTGGGGTGATGGCTCAGTTGATATCGTCTGCCACACTAGACTGCACGTTCAAAGCAGGGGTTAGTTCATATCAATGAGCCCCAGAGCTGGGTGTACATAAACAGGTAGATACCTGGAGCTCATTGGCTTGCAGTCCAGCTGAGTTGAAGAGCTTCAAGATGTCCTGTCTCAAGAAGTGGAGTGGAAATGCCTCTCTATATTGACTTCTCAGCGTGCACACATGCTTACACACACTTGGATAAGGGAGTCTGCAGTTAGGCCTGGTGGTGCACGCATGTTATCCTGGCACTGGGGAGGCCAACGTGGGCTATTTATATAGACAGTCTTCAAGACACCAAAATAAGCCTGGCAGTGGTGGCGCGTGCCTTTAATCCCAGTACTCGGGAGGCAGAGGCAGGGGGATCTCTGTGAATTAGAGGCTAGACTGGTCTACAGATCAAGTTCCAGGGAAGGTTCCAAAGCTATACAGAGAAATGTTATCTTGGAAAAATAAAATTAAATAAAAGGGAAGACTTTTTTTAAAACAAACAAACAAAAACAGTAAAGCCTTAATGTTATTTGCTCCACTCACAACCTTTCAGCAAATACCACTACATGCTATCCCTTACAAAATGTAGCTCTGGCAGTACTCTAGTTACTGTCCAGCCCACTGCCTGCTTGCAGGGTACTCCATAAACTATTCTTTAAAAAAGAGAGAGAAAAGAGCTCTAAGGGGATTAAATTTGACAGTTTACAAATCAACATATGTAAATAGTATCATCTATTGCTGGCATGCACTAAACCCAAGAGTATCTTCAATTGGTGAGCCCTTCCAGTGGTCACCTAACCTGGGCAAGCCCACACTTGGGCAAAGAAATTCTCCACAATCACGACCTTTCAGTTAGAAGGGTAGCCACCTAACTATTCCATACTTTAAACCTTTCTGTCTTACTGGCAAAATCTGAGCGTCATGTGACAGGAAACCTGGCAGGTAGAAACTCTTAAAGGCGCGGACCTCTCCCACCTTCTGGACGGAATGCCTAACAGAAACCTCCATTTCTAACCCAGCATTATGATTTTATCACTAGCATGTCAGGGCTTTCATTAGAGGCAGGTACTGGGTAACAGCCAGTTTCTAAGGAAACAGGCCCCTCTTCTGCCCTGGCTTTCCCAAGTCCGTCCACCGGGCCCTTCTGCCTGCTCTGTTCCTTTCTACCACGTTCAGTTTACTCCAGACTGAAAGTCTGGAGGTGATGGGAGCTTTGAACGATGAACTGGCTTGGCTGCGCCGAGAACCGCAAGTTCTGAGGTTCAAAGTCTGCAGGTTTCTGAAGACGGAGGCTACTTTGATTTCAGGATGACAGAAGGGAGCCGAGAGAGGAGGGGAGACGGTGGGGTTGTGCCAGCGGTGAAAAGGCGTGAGGGTGAGCAAGGCACACCCGCAGAGCCCGGCTCGCGCCCGGCTCGCACACGCGCGCCCGGGATCTGCCGTCCGCCGGCCGCAGGGCCCCCAACCCCCGGGAGACACCCAAGATGGCGCCAGGCCCGTGCGGTTAGAGGTCACGGACACGGGGAAGGGGCCGCTCCCGGGACGGGCGCGCCGGCGGCTGCGCGGGTGCGAGGACCCGGGTGGGAGCTAGCAAGGTCCGGGCGGCCACGCGTCCCGGCGAGGGACCCTGCCGAGCGCGCCTGCGCGCCACAAAGAGGACGCGAGGCCTCAAGGCCTTACCTGCTCCCAGGGCAGAGAAGACAGAGAGGGGCGGGGGCGCGGGAAGCGCGGACAGAGAAGGCTCTACGCATGCGCAGCCGGAGCCAACGAGTTGCCCCCCCCCCCCCCCCACTCACCCACGCCGCGGATAGAGTGAACACCGCCAGCAAGAGGCCGGGTCCCGGCTCCACAGCGCCCCCTGCCAGGTTGGTGGTGCCTTCGGGACGAGCTCTCCCCCTGGCGTTCAACCCGAGAAACTACAAAAGGAGCCCGTCGTGCGCCGGAGAGCGGCCAACTCGGCCCGGAAAGCCGATCCGCAACGTGGCGGACGGTGTCGACTGCACAGCGTTTGGAGTCTTGGACTCCAGTCCCCTTCCCGAGCATGCGCGATCGCATCGGGGGGGGGGGGGGGAACAGCACCCCGAGGCTACTCGGGAATTGCTTGTAGCATACAGTAGGGATTGGGGTTCAGTGCCTAAAATTTAGCAGGGGGCCGCGGGGGGATAAAATCACGGAACTCCTGGCTTCTCGTCGTCCTGGGGACCCTGGCATCACTGGGTGGGAGATGAGAACTGGCCCGATGGACTAATAGCAACATGCCATGGCTGTTCTGCTGGCTTTAACTTACTTTCTGTTTTTCCTATCTCGTGGATGAGCACGATAAAGCCAGCATGAGCGAGTCTGAAGATAAGGGGTAAATATAGCCTGAAGCTCCCTCTTGTGATTCCCGGGGCACACTAGGGGCACCCGTGACCGCGGTAGGGGTGCGAGGTCACCCCAGGTGACCGATTTGCCTCGGCCGGGCTTGCTCGGAGGGGAGCTGGAATGGTCAGTCGTCCTGGAGGTGCTCTCCCCAAGCTCCTGCTTTCTGCCGTGCCCTTTCGCCCGTCCCTCCTCCCCCGGTGGGCCGGGGCTTCCTTAGCAGGCCTTTGTGTCCCCGCAGGAGCAGACAGGCCTAGAGGAGGGCTGCAAGGCCGACCCAGCCCCGAAGCTCAGCTGTCCGGGCAGGGGGCTTGGACGCCGCGCTAGAGAGACGGGAAGAGCTCACCAAACCCACATAAAATAAAAAAAATAAAATAAATAAATAAAAAAAAAAGAGAGCCGCGGCTGTAAATAAAGGCAAATCCGCCACCCTCTGAGGGGCCGTTTGTCCTCCCCTCCTTGGCCCCGTCCTTCCAGCCACCCCCTCCCGGCCCCCGGCCCCGCGGCGCCCCGGCCCCGAGCTCCTCCATTTAATCGGATTTGGGAGAAGGGGAGGATAAATCACGGCAGCAGCTTTACGGTCCCGGAGGAGAGGCGAGCCGCAGCCAGGCACACCCCGGCCGGCGATAAAAACCGCCGCTGAAAGCCCACGGAGCAATTTCCCGGGACCCCGAGCGACGCCATTACAGGAATGTAATTTTGCCCGGATGAGGCCCCGAGTTTAATTATCCTCGCGGAGGAATTTCAATGCGGCCAATCCATCTTGCAGGCGGGCGGCAGAGGGATTTATATGGGCCCGTTATTTCACACCGATCCTCCATCTGCATTTTTATGGCCCTGAGCTCCTGAAAGGGAGGGAACGAGTGGGGAGAAATGGAAGAAGAGGGTGGGGGGGGACTCCCCGCCTTTCCTAAACCCTCCATTTCAGCTGGATTAGGAATCTCACAGGTTCTCCTGAAGCCCCCAAATCTCCCTCCAGTGCCAGCTGTTGACCCGGGCAGGGGCGGGACCGGGATCTTTAGGAATCAACAGGTATTTTCCAAGTACTAAGTAGTGTGAGATGCTTTGTGAGAAAAGGGAGAGAGGCTAGCAAGCGCTTAGGAGTTGATCCCTCGAGGTTCCTCGGACACCCCGCCCTGCTAAAGCTGAATTCCTTTCGGCTCTCAGCTTCATACCCTAAGAGGCACAATCCACAGTTCTTAAAGCCGCCACCGCCAAATGGTGTTGCAGCTGTTGCTTGCGACAATTTAGAGAATCTCCTATATCTCTAACAAACTCTCAGAGGACGATGTATCAGAGAAGGGGCCCGTGAGGGGCTGACCCTGGCTCCTCCGAAAAGTGACTGCAGTCTGCAGTCTGATGTATCCTTACTTAGCCCCAGTGGTGGGCTTCAGACAAACCTGGGTTCCCAAATCGCATGTGACCTTGGGCAAGTTGTTTAACCCTTTTAAATCATTTTTTTCCTTTTAAAATGGAGTATAATAACAGCGTTTACCCTGCAGCCAATATTGAGATAATAATGTACAAGAAGCTTTTAGCAAAGGGCTTGGTACTCAGTAAAAGTTCAATAATCGCCATAATCATTATCGTTAGTATTACAGCTAGGATCATTGCAATTCAATTCTTCCCTGCTCCCGTGAGGCTGTTTATGGTCCTTGCACAGTATCTCCTGAAAGAGAGTCAAGTATCACAAAACTTTTTCAATCACATAAATCATGCAAAACCAGTTAGTTGACATATTGATGGGTGATCTGTGAGGAGGATGAGAATCCTGAAGCCGTCTGCAATTTGAAGCAAGAAATTAGATCATAAAAGAGCAGGGACCTGACAAAAAAGTGGATTGAGGGATGTGAGGGAGGGGTGATCCCAAAGATTAGCTGAGGGTCTAGGGGTTTTCTTAACCCTGTGGTTGGGAAGGGTCGGGCTTCACCACAGCGAGGCACCTGGGGTCCAGGAAGGAAAGGGTGTGGAGCCAGAACCATCCTTTCCAATCAGTCCGGGTCTCTTCCGACCAGGCCATGTAACAAGGTTGGCCTGATTGGCCAGTTTTCCTAATGACTTCTAGTGGCAGATTCTAACTGGTTAGCAGCCTCCCTGCACAAGAGTGACGGAGAAATGAGATTGCTCTTTCCTATCCTCGGATTGGTTAGCCACCCTCAGGGGACAGAGACTCTTTTTAATTGACTGGTAGGCTAGAAGGAGGTTTGGCGTCTCGCACATCGAAATTCCATGAGTTCTTTTCCACAAAGGTCACCAAGAAAGAATCTTGATTGGCTTGAATGTATTTGCCTTTGGCTAGGAGACACCGTAGTTTAGAGAAGAGAAATCAAAATCAAAATCGTACAGGCACGCCACTGTTAAATATGAAACCTCAGACAGAAGGATTCACAAGAAGAAACATAAAAGAGACAGAGGGAAGGAAAATAAGTGTTGTCAAGTGATGAGATGGGGAAAGGTAACATTTTGATCAAAGGATACAAAGTTTCAGTTAGAATGGAGAAATAAGTTTTAGTAATCTATTCCACTTGGTGGTGACTACATTTAATGTGTTGGATATTTCACGGCTGCTGAAATAGATTTTTAAGGTTCTCCCTCTCTCCACACACACACACACACACACACACACACACACACACACACACACACACACACACACACACACCACATTGATTGGATAATGTTTATGTTATTAACTTGCTGGATAGAATCTTTCTATAATGTATATGTAGATCAAAACATCACATTATATTCATAAATATGCACCTTTTTGTTTGTTTTTGTTTTTTTAGACTAGTCTCTATCTAGTCCTGGCTGTCCTGGAACTCACTTTGTAGATCAGGCTGGCCCCAAATTCACAGAGATCCATCTATCTCTGCCTTCTGAGTGATGGGATTAAAGGTGTGCAGCACTGTGTGCTAGGTCCCTGAGGTGTCTAATCCCATCCCAACTGCTCTTTTTGAGACAGGGTCTCTTTTAGCTGAGGTTGGCCTTGAACTCCTGATACCCCTGCTTGCACATTCCAAGTGCTGGGATTACAAGCAAAATCTAATTTGGAGATGTTATTAATTCATTGTGTGACTCTGAGAAAAACACATCTCTGACTTCAGTTTTCTCATTTGTAAAACAGAAAACCAGCAAATGATCACTCAGCTCCTTCTCATCTTTACATGTATGTTATAGAGCACAGGTTTGATTTCTCATTTACCCTTGTCAACTGTGATCTTAAATGACTAACTGACATTTATTGAACACCAACTTTGCAAGGTATTGTTCCACCTATTGTGCATGGATATTTAAAAAAATAAAATGTGCTGGGGGTGGTGGCACATGCCTTTAATCTCAGCATTTGGGAGGCAGAGGCAGGTGGATCTCTGTGAGTTGGAGGCCATTCTGGTTACAGAAGAAGTTCCAGGATAGCCAGGGCTACACAGAAAAACCTTGTCTTGAAAAGGAAGAAAAGAAAGAAAGAAAAGAGAGAGGAATAAATAAATAAAATGGAATACCTTGTCTTTATGGGTTTATAATCATTAGGAATCACTCATTCACATATAATATGTGTAGGATATGCTTATTATGTAAGAGAGTATATAGATAACAGAAGCTGAGAAAGTAGAATGAACTCCAGCCAAGATGACCAAGTGGAAATCATGATTAAAATGGGCTTTTTTTTTTTTTTTTTTTTTTGGTTTTTCGAGACAGGGTTTCTCTGTGTAGCTTTGCGCCTTTCCTGGGACTCACTTGGTAGCCCAGGCTGGCCTCGAACTCACAGAGATCCGCCTGGCTCTGCCTCCCGAGTGCTGGGATTAAAGGCGTGCGCCACCACCGCCCGGCTAAAATGGGCTTTTTGCCTTCTTTAAAAAATTATGAGCCAGGCATGATTGCCTTTTTAATCCTAGCACTCAAGAGGCAATGGCAGGTGAATTTCCATGAGTTCAAAGGCATCCAGCCTGGTTTACCTAGCAAGTTCTAGGCCAGCCAGAGTTACATAGTGAGACCTTGTCTCAAAAAATTATGAAATATAAGCCAGGCTAGGTTGCTCATGCCTGTAATCTCAGAGCTCAGAAGACTGAGACAGAAGGATTGCTGCAAGTTTAAGGCCAATCTGTGCTGTAGAGTGTGGCTTTGTCTTTATAGAATGCAAACTGTATATATTTATTTATTCAACAGATTATTTTGGCAGTACTGGAGATTGAACTGAGGGCCTCACAAATGCCAGGCAAGTTCTCTGTCCAGCACCTCAACACTAATTTTTCATAGTACCTACTATACCCCAAGTATTGTTCATGGTGTTTAGAACACAGATGTGAACAAAGCAAGACAAAAAAGAAATCTTTACCAGTGGCTGGGAATAGGCTTAGGGGTAGGGCACTTGCCCAGCATGTGTGAGGACCTGAGTTCAACTCACAGAAGCACCACCACAAAACAACAACAACAAAACAATCCTTGTCTATCCAGAGAGCTGACATTTTATACAAACTATGAGGCATAATAATAAAATGGAACAGTCACCTATAACCAATCCTTAAGCTTAAGAAAAACAAACCAAAAAACCCATCAACTTGCTGGTCCCATTGAGCGTCCTATGCTTCTCTCTCCTGTAGAGGCCCAAGTGTCCCTGCCTGAAGGCCAGAAGAGGGCACCAGATCTCTCATTGTAGATGGCTGAGAGCCACCATGTGGGTGCTGGGAATTGAACTCAGGACCTCTGGAAGAACAGCCAGTGTTCTTAACCTCTGAGCCATCTCTCCAGCCCCCTATATACAGTGTTTGTAATTTACTCTTTTCATTGCACTCTGTATTTATAAGCCTCCTCCATGTTGATGTAGTTAGTTGTACTTTATTGATTTCTTCTGTTGACTGATATTTAAATTTATTCCCTGATTTTTGCCCTTACAAATAATGTTGCTTTTAGAATTTCTGTACTGAGCCGGGCGGTGGTGGCGCACGCCTTTAATCCCAGCACTCGGGAGGCAGAGACAGGCGGATCTCTGTGAGTTCGAGGCCAGCCTGGGCTACCAAGTGAGTCCCAGGAAAGGCGCAAAGCTACACAGAGAAACCCTGTCTCGAAAAACCAAAAAAAAAAAAAAAAAAAAAAAGAATTTCTGTACGTGTCTCCTAGTGTACATGGAGAAGAGTCTTTTCAAGGTGTACAATTGTTGTGCTGGGGATGTGGCTCAGTGGTAGATAATTTTCCTGGCAGGCTTGGGACTCTGGGTTCAATCTTCAGAACTAACTGCAGATGAGTGGGGCCTTGTGGTACAGACCAGTCATTCCAGTTACTGCAAAGGCTGAGGCAGGAGGACTGAAAATTCAAGGCTTCAGGGCTGGACATGGTGGCCCACACTTTCATCTCAGCACGTGGGAGGCATAGGCAGGCGGA